CCTGTGCAGTGCCGTGCCATGTTCAGGGCTCTGGTCGTTCCTTTCCTTTTGGAGACGTGTCCTTTTTGCTGTTGTTGCTGCAGCAAATGAAAAATAAGCTTTGAAAACATTTTGTGCCATTTAAAGAACAACATTTCGCTATTGTCCTCTTGTTTGTCTTATATTACAAGTTCTGGTCACCCGAAATGCTTGTCCAATTTGATTTTTTATACGTTTTTTTTTTGTATCTTGGGCATTGTGTTGTGTGTCACAGATGAAATGAGTTTCTCGGCTCTTTTCCAGTTGATGTGCTTAATGGTGTTTGCTTTTACAACTTTCCATTTTGCAGTTGTGCAGTTGTGTTCTTTGGCCGCATATTTATGCTAATCCACATACATCTGCTGACATAGCTACAATATACATACCTACGAGTATATACTGGAGTGCTGGAGTACAGCATTCATCTACAATAGATGAAAAGCTATTCTTAATGATGGAAGGAAGATACATAGTCTCAGATCTGAGAGACTGGCAGATGGGAAGCAAAAGGAACAGCCATTCGCTTTGCTGCTCAGTTGCTTTTAGTGTAATTAAAAATGCAGTCTACAAATCTTTTACCATTCGCGACCTCCCGCCCGCCCTCTCTCTCTCTCACTCTTTCTTTTACGTTTTGGCCCCTTGTCTCTTGTCCCTTGTCCCTTGTCTCTCTTTCTGCTCGCTGGTTTACTCTCTTATGCATTTCCTTTTGGCTTCAGGGTTCTGGCTTTGGGTTCGCTTCTGGCGCTGGTCCGTTGTGGTTTGTCGGGCGAACCTTTTGGCTGCCATTAGCAGGATTTCCTTTAAAGGACTTTAAGACGCACAAGTGAAAATGATTTAATTTACCGCATTTCGCAATTAAATGCGAGTCCTTGAATTGGACATGGGGCATGGGGCATGGGCATGGGGCGTGGGACGTGGGACGTGGGGCGTGGGCTGAGTGAAACACTAATTGCATTTTTTTCACGCCATTTTCTGTGGATAAAGGGATTTGGTTTTCCTTGGCGCCTGCAACTGACTACGCTGATTGGAGGAAGGAGACCACTACCAGTACCATTACCCGTACAAGTGGGAGATGGGCGGACAACCAGGGCACAAACTTAATTAAGCCCCAATGCCAACTGCCTACGGGCCATGGCAGACTGAGCTCAGCTCAATGTGGCTGTTGTGGGGATGTGGGTGAATGGCTGGCTAAGCTGGCGGTGCAGCATCTTTAATAAAGCGTGGCCGAAGCCAACTTGGCCGCAGGTAATGGAAAATCCCGATGACAATTTTTTAGTTTAGCTGCCATGAAAACATTTCAATTGCGGTTGCCAGGCGTCGCCAGCGCCATTGCCATCGCCAACGCTGTTGTCCTGCCGGAAGTCGTTGCGCCTGATTGCCGGAGAACTAGGACCAGGACCAGCAGGACCCTGCACAACAGCAACAGCCACAGCCACGGCAACACTTGAAAGCAAAGCGAATAAAGTCAATTGAAGTAAATGCTTTCCTACTTTGGTATCACTTCGCTTTGCCGCCCCTCATTTGGCACAGCACTGGCAATAATATGCATCGAATTGCTGTTGTTCCTCTCGCAACACTTTCCATTTCTGCGGGAATTCTGCGCGAGTTCTTTCGCATTAAATTCCGAGCGAATATTTACAGAATTTATTTACCTACCTTAGAAACGATCAATCTGCCAGGGGAACTACAAGTTTCGGACCACTGCAGGACTTAGTTGTATTTGAGTTGCATTAAATGTGGATGGAATCTATCTCGTTGTACGATTACGAGGACACTCTGTTACACATCATTCGCCCCTTGGAATGGTTCATTAGCTGCACTCGCTGGAGAAATGTGCTGCCAAAGCAAATTGTATGCAATCTCGGCATCAGCCCAGCCCAGCCCTGCCAGCCAGCTACAGAGGGCACAATTTTTCTACCTCTCCCTTCTCTCTTCACTGGCATCGATGGCTTCTGCTTGTGCTTGAGCTTCTGTGCGGCTTGAATAAATAATGGCCATATGTCTTGCACGGTGATGCCCCGACGGATGCGTTCGTCTTTAAGTCGCTCGATTTTCCATCCTTTTTGGGGCCATGCCGTGCCATGCCATGCCGTTTGCTGATGATCCCCGGCCAGAGAGCATACGTACGTATTCTCTTTTCATTCGCTTCTGTTTTTTCTACAGCCAGGCATAAATGCATTAAAAACAATAAATGTGCAAAGTAGAGCGGCGCTGAAATGCTCGTAAAGTGGACCAAACTAGACAGCCAGCTAGCCAGCCAGCTAGCCAGCCGGATGGGATGGGATGTGCCCGGCACTGGGCAGCAGCTCAGCGCACTGCTCCCCGCGGTGCACCCGCCACGGTCATTGCAAATTAATGGCCTTCAAAGTGGTTAAGCAGGAGGAGATGCAGCTCGTTGGACACTCGCTAGCCGGACGCCAGGAGTTCATTGAGTTCACAAAGAGCAGTAGCAAATTTTATGAGTTTCCACGGTAAAATAAGAAATTTTGCACAAAATAATATTACCCAAGCAGAAAGTAAAAGAGAGACAGAGGCAGAGAGAGAGAGACGAACAGTTGGCAAGGGGTGTAGGGGGGAGCGGCACTGGTCCTCTCGGATGGACCGGGGGCAGACTGCTGCTGCCTCTGCTGCCTTTTTCCGTGTTGCCATTAAGTGCAAAAGGATTTTCATTCTTATGCGCATCCTGTGCATAATACAGCAGACTCGGCACACGCAAAACTCATTGCCATTGTGTGTTTGTCTCTCTCTCTCTCTCTGCATCTTTCCATCTGTGTGTGTGTGTGTGTGTGTGTGTGCAAGGATATGCCAATTTATTGCACACACGAGTGCATTAGAGTGCCACAGTCCTTTCTCAGCTCCCAGCTCCCAACTCCCAACCCTGCTCTCTCTTTCTATCTCGCATCTCTGTGTGCTCTCTGTGTCCTCTGTCTCTCTGTCTCTCTGTCTTTTTTTGCCCCCCGAATGGCTGGGGCAAAGTTTTTGTGTTCATTTGGCGATTGCGGCTGCTGCATGTCTGGCAGAAATTACTTAATCCTTGCGGTTTTCTGGAGCAGCAAGTGCATTCTGTCCACTCTGCTCCCCCCCCCCCCAGTTGTCCGGCATCTTTGCCGTCCGTTTCATTTACCCATTAAAGCAATTGTAATTGGCATTTGTTGCCATTTAAGCGGCAGGCCAAATCATTTCCTGCACCTCTGGCCGGGCGCCCTTTAAAGTGCCGAAGAGCCAACCCACCCACCCCCCGGAGTGCCAGCTCCACCTACTGATGACCGAGCCATCTTAGCGCGTTTAAATATTTTCAGGCACTGGCCTTCTGCTCCTGCTGTTTTATTGCCCCACGAGACGGGCAGTGGAATCCTTTCCTAACCGCTGCACTCGGCAGCGCGCTGCCTGCAACCTCCGTCCCCCGCCAGCCCGCTGAAGCAGCAGCATCCAGGAGGATGCCAGGAGGCAGAAAGCGGGGCCACGTCGCAGATTACAAATAAATTATCGCTTAATAGTCTTGTTGTTGTCGCTACGGGTGCGCTTCTACTTCTTCCTGTTCCACCCCCACAGCCATTTTGATCCTTCATTTTTATATGACGGCGTCTGGCAGCCCAACCATTTCCACCAGTCTGCTGATGGATGACTCAATCTTGAGATACTTTCACATTGTTTGCAGTTAAATAAGTTAAATGACAATCAATACTAGCAGGTTTTACAGTGTGTGAAGAGTTATCATGATTTAACCAGCAACTGGGAGAAGTTATGGCTGCAGAGCGCAGAGAGTAGATTCCGCTAAAAGATAATCTCAGAGAATTCATTAATAGTTTCGGGTATTTTCCGATCTGTTCAACTGTATGACAATGTCTGATTGGCAGCCTCAATCAGCATCGTCAGAAGTACATACAAAAAATGACTCGGATTCAGACATGGACTCACACACACCCGGAAACACCACTCACCTCTCGCTTCAGTGACCGCTGTGTTCCCCAGCCGTGGCGGAGAGACTTAGCCGTCGACAGACGCTCCACAATGGTGCATCAAAAATTAAAACTGAAAAAAAATAATAAGATGTGGCAGAAGTATAGCTGCCAAGGGATTGGGGTGGATGGTTTATTGTTGGTTTTTTATATGCAAACAGAAATCAATCTCAGCGCGTCAGGGGACGTAAAAGATATGCAAAGCGAGATGGTGGCGGAGTTACTGCTATCGACACTATGAAGCATGAATATTGGGTTTCTTTTTTACGAAAAGAGAACAAATATAAATATAATAAAAATAACAATATATTCCATGTCTCTGGCTGCGTTTGTGATTCCAAAATGAGCACAGAGAACAAAAGCATCTTTAGTTTTTATTGAAGCCAATTAATTGGGTATTCAGAGCCATAACTACAGACTTCCAAGTGCTCAGAACAAATACATGCAGCAGCAGGCTGTGCGAATGAAGGTATTAGTAGTAGCTACCACAACCAAGAAGCTGAACTTTGCTGTTGAGTGTAGTGGATGCTGGGTGCCGCACTGGCGGCGTCCCGACACGGCCCCTACACTTGTTGTCGGCTGCCATTTTCACAGCCACAAACTTGCGTATGCAAAGGGGAATTGCAATTGAATTCATTGAATTCGATTTAAAAACGAAATGAAAACGAGACGAACGATTCAGGCCGTGGCGATGCCGGTGCAGGGCAGGAGCAGGGGCACGGGCAGTGGCGATGGCAATGAATGTGACTGTGGGTGTGGCATACATGGCTGCCGGGCCCAAAGGCATGCGAGGCATGTACTCACTCAAAAAACACAGCAACAAAAACGAAAAACAGAAATTCAAATGAAACAATAAAAGAAAAACCAAACCAAAAAATGGTAACCCAACAACATATTTAACGGCACTTTTGCGGTTGTCTGAAAGGATGCATGGGCGTGTGGCAAATCGGGGGCGTGCCTGGCAATGTGCTTACAGCAAAAACAAAAAGAAAAAAACGAGACGAAATAATTTGTTTAGTTGCATGTTTATTGATGATGTTTCTTTTGTTCTTACATTACCACTGCATACTTAGAGGCTATTTACAGGATTCGCTTGCCTTGGCTTAAGTTAAAGGTTTTCCACATTGTTTTTTGGGTTTGGTTTTTGTTTTTGTTTTTTTTGTTACTCAGTGACATTTATTACAATTATATAGTACATAGAAATTACATAGTTTGTTTTTTGTTTTATTTTGTTTTTGTTTTTTGTAAATTCTCACGTGCATTTCAGTTGCTTAGAGCTATAAAATGGTTGAAACAAACGCAATAATCGGTATACCGGAAAATAACAGAATGTCCATTCCGCACTACGGCCAGCAGGGGGGGTTTCTACTGGCACACGCACTCGTCGACGCCATTTTGTAGCGCGCCGACTTCCGTGCGCCATATTGAAATGTCAGTGGCGTCAAGAGTCGCGCTGCGGTTGCCGCAGCCGCAGACGCCATCAGCAGGAGCAGCAGCTGCTGCAATTGTATGCTGTTTCCACCACGAGTGGCAACTGCAACACAGCGACAAAGACAGAGAGAGACAGAGAAAGAGAAATTTTTATTAATTTGTGCTGAAAATTGTCCAAATATGTCGGTCCGCATGTCAGTCTGTTAAAAATATATTTATTTTTAATTAGCGGCCACTGCCATTGCGGTCGAGTGCATTAAGAGAGCTCTGCCCACGGAAGGGCAGCAAAACCCACCCGATCTCGAGTTGATCAGCTTTTGGTTTTTCAGATCGATGTCGTCCCGGAAGAGCTGCGCGTACATGGTCGCCTCCCGCTGCAGCTGAGGATACCTGTCGATCTCGGCCACACAGCGCAGCTCAAGGCCGAGGCGCGCCGGTGAGATGGTGCGCTTCTGCTGCGGCTGTTGCTGACGCTGCAGCATCAGCTGTTGCAGCTGCGCCTGGTGGAAGCGCGGCTCGTTGGCGTAGAAGTTCAGCTGGGACACGATGCGCCGCAGATTGTAATCGTGGGCGGCAATCGTGGTCTCAATACTGGGCAGAAGATCCACCAGAGAAACCTATTCAATTATGATGAACGGAATTGGTTAAAATATATCTACAGATGAATTACTGGTCGTTACCTTCACTCCATTGATGTACCACGTAATCCGCGTGAATAGGCTGGAGAAGTCCGTGCTGCAGTTCACCTGAACAAAGTCGTCGAAGCGATACATGGAGTGAAAGCTGCTGATAAGGGGATTGTTTTGCGGAAGAGCTGTAAGCGAAAATATTTTATATTGTTTTAGAATTTCCAACATGGATAAAGCAATAAATCTTAAAAATGTGTGTTTAGAGCGGTACTAGGAATTTTAAGAGTAGCTTGTAGACAGCTTTATGCGAATAGACTAACACCCTTAGAAGTCTGGCATTCAGAAAGTTGGGATTCATCGAAGTTAGCTTATGGTGTTCATTGTTCCCTGGAACTTAAACTATTTCAACATTTGAGACTGACAAGTATTGGTAGTTTTTATTCGTTTCCATAGCTAAGCTTGTGGTACGGACTGGAGATTTACCGACAAGGAGAGGGTATGGGATCAGTGCCATCAAAATGGATAGTTGTTGTTGAGTGGCTTAGGGGCAGGAGTAGGGAATTTCAAACTATTGAAGTGGCGCAAAATTAAAGAGAGGCTCTGGCGATTTTATTTTTATTTTTATTTATTGCTGGGATTCATTGGAGAGGGTGAATACAGGGCAGGCCAGAATTTTTTTTAAAGTTTTCTGTTATCAGGTTGATGTTTGGATTTAAAGGAAAAAAAAGGAGCTGGAACCCACATCACTCTGAATATTGCATAGAACTTATTCACTTAATTGGAGTGAAAGAGAGAATATTCAATGTGTAAATGTTGCGCAAGCAGTTCATCTCTTTTATGTGTATAGTGCCCCTTTAATACTGTCACAAAGGATCCATTATCTGCAGCTACTGCCATAAGTAAACGTTTTCCCATGGATGAATGCAGGACAGATGATTCCTTCTCTGGCTGAGTGCATCGCAGTTATTTCCTTAGCTAATTTTAAACGCACATTACACATGCAAATGGCGCACCTTTGTTGCTGGCGTTCTGGTTGTTCTTCTTTCCGCTGCTTGTGTTGTTTTTGTGTTTGGGAAACTTCTCTATTTGCTTTTGATAAATTTTTAAAAATATTTTAGCAACAGTGGAGCAGCAGAGCCTGAAGCAGACACAGGAGCAGCACTGAGGCAGAGCTTGCCCCGCATCTACAAGGTATTTATTTTATATCAGCGGAAAAATAGATGATCATAAAACACATGCAGAGAAGCATCCTGCATGTTTGTGTATGGTTGTGGGTTGTTCTGCGAGGTTGTCGGAGGGAAAAGTAAAAGCGAAAATAAAATAAAGCAGAACAGAAAGGAGGGCAACACGCACATGCAGCAGGAGCAGGAGCCGAAGCAGGAGCAGAAGCGAGCCAGGCGGCGGGTGGCCCTTGGCGAAGTCGCCTGATGAGGGACCGGAGCAAGAGGCGGAGGCAGTGGCAGTGGCGGAGCTTTTCATTTTAGCGATATCCTTTTTAAGCATAAAGTGCTGCCGTAAATCACAGAGCCGCACAGACACACACCAGCAAGAGTAGCAGCAGGAGAAGGAGAAGGAGCCGTGGGTTTCTGTGCGCTGTGTCCGTGTCCATGTCGAGGCGGGCGTGTATCTGAGTGGGTGTGTGGGTGTGTGTATCTGCTCGCTGTGCGGATGCGAATCACATGCATCTCTTGGTTACATTTTATGAACGCTCGCTGTTCCTTTCGCGAGCACATCCTGCCTGCCTGCCTTTGCTGCCTTGCTGCCTGGTTGCCTTGCAGCTTATCCTGTGCGTGTAAACTCCCCCCGCAGTGGCAGCCACTTTGCCAGCTCGTCATATATGCAAACGGCCCCTGCTCTGCATGTGCCTTGCAGTTTTCTTCCCCGTATTGTTTACTATTAAAATATCACGGAAATTACACATTTTACTCTGTTTATGCAATGCAGAGCAAAGGCAGTTTCAGCTGCAGTGCACTGCAGTGGCAGCCTCGAACGTGTTCTCGGAGTGGGAATCAGAGTGCGAATGGAAACGGGAATGGAAACGAAGTACATAATGGATAACGAGGAGTAAGCCTGTGGCGTAAAATATTCACATGATACACTCCCACATAAGATGCATACTCCTCCCTGTACGTGTACCTGTACCTGTACGTGTACGTGTATGTAGGTAAGTCAGTACTTCATTTAAGACTAACAATTGAAACGGCATTTCATTAGTCAGCAAATCCACCGAATCCGACTCCTAGTCCGACTCTGAATCTGAATCAACTCCACGGACTTACCCTCTACGCTCATGTTGGCATCGCGTGCAGTTAACTGGAAGTGGGGCGCATCGCCGGACACTTCGCACCTGTAGACTCCAGACGATTTGATGCCCAATAAATTAAGCTCCACGCGACACGAGGATTCATTGCATTCGTTGCCGTCATCGATCAGCTGCACGCCGTCCACCGCGAACGGTATATATGTGGGTGGCGTAAGTGGCGAGTATCTGCAAGGGATACAAAAATAAGAAAGGGGTGTGGTGAGTGAGCGCGGTGGGAAGATGTTCCAGCAAAGTGGCCGCAAATTGCAGCAAGTCCGTTTCCCCTGCCTCATATCATCCACTGGGCCCACTGATAATCTGCAGATGTGTGTCGTAGGCTTGGGTTAAAAGCTTTCAAAGCCATCAACGAAAACTGGCCAGGAAATGGGAGAGCGAATCGTTTCTTTTTATTCCCTATCCCTCTCTCTGTCTCCCTCTCTTGGAGACAAGTGGCTTACATGCACTCAACCCTAACTGATTGCCAATGTGGGTCTGATGTGGAAATGGAAATGGACATGGGCTTGGGTATGGGCGTCCCTTTAATTTGTTTTGTATTGTGGATTGATGCTCATTAATCCCACAAAATGCCTCAAAACATGTAAAAAGAGAGAAATCCAAAACAAAAAGTGTTCAAGTGGAAAACTTGTCCAACACTAAAGCATACACACACATACACACAGCTATCAAGTGGGTCTCCTCAAGGCCTGGGCCTAGGGGGAGCACATAAATAAAAGCACCCCCAAGCATTGAGAAAAAGCGTTGCCTACTTTTGTGCGCTGCTGTAGTGTTGATAAGTCGCCTTTGTGTGCTACTTGTTAATAGCCACAACAGGGAATGGGCAATGTGGAATGTAGAATGGGGCTATGGCCTAAGTCTGGGTCGGGTGGGTGCTGGTTGCGCATTATTTGCGGCTTAGGCGGTAACTGCGGCAGCAAATCAACAAATTTGATAAGCAATATAAACGGCAGCGCCGCGCTGTGCTCCATTCCCTGTGCCAAAGGCTCGTTACAAGGGGATTTGTGTGCCGGGACAGACCGGACGCACAGATTCTTCTTTCTTTGTGTATGAAATAAAAAACCAAAATACACATTAAATTAATTTTGGTTACTAATGCGATGGGAAAACTGGCCAAGGCCAAATCTGGCTGAAGGAGAGAGAGTCTGTTGCTTTGTATATTCGCCATAAACAATAAATCGATCATTCGCAAAGCCAAACAATTTTTGGAAACATTTTTTTCAGGATTGATTTAACTAACAAAATATTTTGCGAATTTTTCGTTCACTTAAAATATTTTACCAATTCATGCCAATTCGCATGTCCAAATTCCACAGAAATGTTTCATGTTTTGTGCAAATATTTTTGGGTTTTGAATTCTATTTGAGCCTATTACATTTTATAATTGTAAACCGAACACATTTATTGGAAGGGTATTTTTTTTTTCTATAAATTCGACTGAAAATTGAATGAAAATGTGTTTTGTGTTTTCAGCAATTTACAAACACAATGGGAAATTAATTGAAATATAAAACAAAAATTGTAATAAATGGAAATGCTTTTAAATTATTTTCCCTTTTGTAATATTCTTAATAATTTTCATTGACAAGTAATCCCTCGCAAAATAACCAAAAGTTACTTAAACAAATATTCGAGTTTCTTTTGTGAACTTTTGCTGCTCCTTGTTGGGACCTCTTCGAGCACTGTTTGCTTTAATTTGCATTTGGCCGGCGAGTGCAAGTGGAATTGCAATTTGCTTTCAGTTGACTTTTACGTTTTACGTGCTGCTGTCTAATTAAAACTTTCTCTCGCCCTCGGTCTAACCTTAGCCCCCTGGAGCCTGCAAACTGTCTCGCTTTCGCTGGCTTCCTCCATCTGTATAGCAGTATGTGTATCTGTGGGTGTCTGCCGTTGTGTCCCCATGTTCTTATGTGCAGCTGTGCTGTGAGCATGTGAGGGCGGATATCTGGGAGCTGCTCATTTTTAATTAAGCAAAACGCGAAGCAGTCACTTGAAATTTTTCATTACGCTGCCCCAGCGTTCACAGACTGCCACCGAATGTGGCAAGTGCCTACGCTTGAAGAGAGGCATTCAAAGTGAGAGCATAATGATGGCTTGTCCTGGCCAGCCACTTGTTGTGGCCGACTTGAGGTCGAATGACCATTTAATCATCATATTTGGTTTGCTCGGCCAAAATATCTGGCCGGGTTGGGTCTTTTGGCCAATTAATTTGGTTGTTTGTCTCGCTGCAAACGATGTGTGCATAAATAATAAATGCCGTGAGTGTGCCGCAAGCATATACACGCCTATGGGCGGGCAGGAGGCAAGGAGAGTTGGTGGAGGAGGTGACCAAACATTTAAATTAATTTGCCAGCACAAATTAATTTATTTAATAATTAATGGAGCAAGAAAGTCTGCCGCAGTGCCAGACAATGAACATATTTGTGTGGAATATGCTTACATAACATACAACATACAATATATACTCGTACACCCCCCCTATATAAAAGCAATTCTGAGGCAAACCCACTGCCAGTGGCACGGATTCCCATGCATCTGACAGCTGCGACCTGGAATAAATATCATAAATTATGGGCAAAAACAGTGCGTCAAAGAACTATCCAGCGGTTGTAAAAAAAAAAATATATTAGCAACAAAAGTGTAATGAAACTCATTATAAGCCCTCACTTGTTTGCCAGATATTATTGAATGCAATTTAGTGTTTTATTTGAAAAATAATCATTTCGTTAATTTGTTGTACTACTACAGATTATGGTTAAATATTTTTCAATAATTTAATTAGTTAATAAGTACACTTTAACGATCACTTAATATTTAATAGCTATTTTTTGCTATGCTCAACAATTGAACAATTGGATTGTGTAGGAAAGGATTAAGGCTAACAAATCCGTTCAGGAATATTTGTATATGTTGTACGATGTAATAGTTCTGTAACGCACTGTATATATTATACATATATAAACTGTAAAATCCCCACACACTTACCTAAAAAACTCCTTTCCGTTTTTGTACCACTTAACCGAATTTAACGTGTGACCACTTATGTCATAGCTGCAGGATAATGTCACGTTATCACGAAAATCAACAATTTGTGGCACATTGATGTCAGTCACACGTAGACACTGAATGCGTCGCACAACTGCCGCACGCCAGAAGCAGAGTTGGACCAGACGGTGGCCGAGCACAGGAGCAGAGCAGAGAGCAGTGAGCAGAGGAGGAGCAGCAGGGTAGAAGGTTAGTCCCATGCAACGAGATGAAAAACGTCAGATAAAATGATGAGAAATGCCATAAAAATATGGAATACGTATACAAAAAGTAAATCAGAAAAATCACAAAAACGAAAACGAAATGAAAATGTTTTGCATTCGTCTGCTTTAAATTGAGGCATTAAGCCATACCGAGCAGCACCCGGATCTCTCGATGGCATGTCAGAGATTGTGAGGCAATAAAAAAACATATATGTATTAAATTTGGTATTTTTTTTTTTAAAAACAGTAAAAGGCGAAAAAAAATTCTACCAGAGATGTAAGCTTTGTGTAGCTTGTGTAAGCTTTGATCGGAGTCTGAGAGTTCGAACGATAATACACTTCGATTGTTGTCTATAGTAGCACATAAGAATAAATATATATTGAATTTTCATTAGATTTGTAAACTAGCTCTGAAAGGGATTGTAGTTATCTCTTATTTGTACTCTTGTAGCTAATATTTTAGTTATAGATATGGGAGTTAAGACTATTCCAAGATAATGCAATTTAAATTCAAATGGAAATCAGAATCTCTCCCTTAGTGCCCTATATAAAATAATTATGTTATCTTTTCCTCATTCATGGTTGCAAATTGAGAAATATTTGGAATATTCTCAACAGCAGAACAAGACGAAAATGTTAAATATTAAAGCATTCAGCGGGCGGACAGAGGACAGAGGAAAATAAGAACAAGGGAAAGGAAACCTTCGCACAACTCCTAATTGAATGAACTTGTAGAAATCCTCAGCTCTAAGAAGGAGAACGAGACTGACACAGGCAGAGTCTGAGGCAACGACAGATGCAACAAAAAGCAGCTAAACGGTACCACCAACAAAAGCAGCCACCAAAAACAAGCTGAAGAGAAAAAAAGAGAACAAAACCGCGTGCTGGTTTTTACAATTTGCGAACGTTTTTAAGTGCAAACAGACGGAGTGGAGCGAGAGGAAAAAATAAGGAAATGCCGGAAAAAAATGGTTAATATCATTAGCTGCAATGGGTTCTGCTGTTACTGTGGTAGCGGTTAGGTGTTTTTCCTGCCTCTTATTGCTCCGAAGGGTGCAACAGCAGCATCACACCCTTCGCGCGCTCCTTCGTGGAAGAAGTTGCTGTTGGAAATTTCCATAATCCAGGCCCAGTCTTGCTGCAGTTGAAGTTGCAACTGCAGTTGCCGCATGATAAGCTAAGCAATCCCGGAGACGAGAGACGAAAGCAAGTGGATGCCGACAACGACAGACAACTTGTGCATAATTTGAGCAAATCGCATTAGGTAACAGCAACAGAGGCAGCAACAGTTGCAACTGCAACACTCGTGAATTTAATTTGTCGCCGTTTACAGTTGAAATAACTTGCAAGGATGTCAAAAGTTGCGATTGCCAAAGGCAGCTTAGTCGAGTATTTATTTTGGTTTTGGCCAGCGCCGACAACCTTTTGGAATTGTTGGCTATTCCTATCTGTATACAGGGCGCTGTTTGATTGCAGAACATCGGGATTTGTCAGTGTCTGAGGCAGAGGCAAAGGAGCAGAAAAAACTTGTTTAAACTTTCCATAGACAACAAACAGACAAACAGACAAAGTGCCTGGTGGTCGCAGCGATTGCAGCCTGATTCCGATTCTGATCCTGACATGAGTCCTTTGGAGCATGTCAAAGCAGTAGACGAACAACGAAAGCAACAGCAGCAACAGCAGCAACAAGGACGACAATGGAAAACACATTTGCAAATGGCAGCGGCAACCGCAGCTTAATGACAGGCTTTCCAGCAGTTCAGTTCAGAGTAAAAGCAAATGGAAAACTTCACCTGCGCGGCCAAAGGCACGTCCTTCGGCTGCGGCTCTCCTTGTATGTATGCCGTTGTGTTCGTGTGTGTACCTATGCAAACAAATGCCGTGTCTTTGCCTGTGTATGTAAATAATAAAAATAAGTACATCAAATACAGACAAACGAAACTTTTTTGCACGGCAATCAACGCACTTGAGTGAACTTTGCTGCCTAACAACCAGAACCAGAGACAGAATCGGAGACGTAGACGTAGATGGAGACAGAGTCTGGAACAGGGACAGTAACAGAAACAGATACTGAGACAGCCACAGAGAGAGACAGAGAGAACCAGTGACAGAGACAGCTACGGCAACACATCAATTTGTTGTGGCGGCGGCTGTAGTTTCTCTCTTTCTCTCTGTCTCAGTGACTCTCTGTCTCTCTGTCTATGTCTGTCTGCACGTTTCGTTTTGCTCGCCTGCCTCTGGCGCAGCTGTTCGCTTGTGGGGAACTTCCCTGGAACCCGCTCCAACAAAGCTGACATCTTTGCCATCTCTAATGAAAGTCAAGGAGCAAAGCTCTTCAATACGTAGAAATGAAAAGCTGCTTAGAAAATCTCAAAGTGCCTAGAATATTTTGGGTGAGCTATACTCAATGGCTCAATGAGATCCAGAGACCAATCTACATATGTATTAGCAAAGATCGTTTGCTGCTCGGAGAATATGGGTTTCTCTAGTTTCTGACTGCTTTAATCAAAGCTTGACAGATTTCTTTTCCTGCTTCAGTAAAGTTTCTGCTTGGGCTGATTTTGCTGATTTTGTTTTATGTTTGCTCACCCAACTTAATATCATGAGTGTAATAATCTCTTTCCACACAGATGACCCTGGGTTTTTGTAATCAGCTGCTCCGAGAGTCTTTTACTATCTGCTTTGAATGTCCCAAGTATCTGCAAGTAGAGAATGCCTTTCGGAAGGCCGTCCTAACTTTTTCCTGACTTTTCAGTTAGCCATAAGCGGGACAACATTATTTTTTCCCATACTGTAAGGCTTCAGCGCAAATCCGCTTTAAACATTTTGCCGCCAACGATAAACGCTCAAACAGACAAATCTGCACTGGCCCAAACGAGGAAGGAAAATGAAAGCAGCAGTGGGAAAGAGAAGGCCAGGGCCAGGCGTCTATAATTTGCATACAAATGCGGGGCCGCCAACGACAACGACAACGACAAGTAGGAGACTTCAAGTCCATGGCAGTGTTTGTTTGGATTGGGTTCGGTTCGGTTTGGGAAGGGCAGGGCATGGCATGGCTGGAGAGAGCGAGAGAGCTGGGATTGGAGTTTGTTTTAGTTTGGTCGGTGAGGGGAGGGGCCAAGTTGCGTTGGATGCGCTGCGGCAAACAAACACAAATAAAGATGCTAATCTCAGCCAGAAGCAGTAGCAGCAGCAACAAAAAATCGACCATCTAAACGAGCAACACGAGCAGGGCAAGTGGGCCAGGCCAGGCTAGCAAAAAGCATGGTATGGCATGGCATGGCATGGCTCTGTTGCCCGGACAACTATGCTGAGATTCCTTAGCTGATGTGGAGCTTTTGTTGTTTCTGGTTGCTGTTTTTGTTCAAATCCCATTTGGTATGCAGCTGAAGCCGGATCGGCAGCTATGCAAACGCGTGAAAGTTTAAAGTTGATTTGGCTCAGACTTCGACTTTGACTTCGACTTGCGGCTTGGATTTTGGCAAGAGGCTTTGTCTGCATTTGCCGCTGCCTGACATCATATTAGTGTCAGTTCTGGCCCTTGACAGTCGAAAATCTTATAGTTTCCCCTACAGGGACTTTGCCACCGTTCAAGTGTAATTTTTGTGTGCAAACAAGGCGAGAGGAGACATCGTTTCATTTCGTTTCGTTAAGTTTACGCCGCCTGGGAGCAGTCTCATAACGCACACTTACGAAAATTGAAGACACTTGTAAAATCGGCAATTTGTTTAAATAAACTTTATGGCACTCGAAGCGGGTGAGCGAGTGCTGGCCTCGCAAATATTTATTTTCTTTATAGCAGGCCCCTCAGCATCAGGCTCAGCCTCAGCCTCAGAGCCGGTCTGTGTCTGCAGTGAATTTTCAGAGCATCTATAAATTTTAGAAAAGTGCAAATAAAATATAGCGAGAGACACTTATTTTTCCACAGTTTTCCTGCTCTTCTAACTGGGGTGTGTCTGTGTGTGTGTGTGTGGAAAATCCTTTAAGGCGTACTCCGCAATGGAATTGTCGCATTTATGTTTGGTTTATGCAAATTTTTTGGGTGACTGTCGGGGCATTTGTCCTTGTCCTTGCCAGTAGAGAATTCTCTGCTCAAACAATGCATGGCATAAAAAGCGAAAACTGTGGACATTTTGTGCATCGTTTGTTGACACATTTCCCTTGTAATGAATATGGTTTGCATAGATCATGAGCTCCATAAATGGAATGGCAAATTTAATGGAAAACAAAATCGATAAAAAATACATATATAATTAAAACGAGGTCAAAAGACACACAGTGTTATCGCAAACAAAATGAACAAACAAAAATGCCAACAAATGAAAGTCTTTTTCCAATTCCGTTTTCTGCATTTATTTCCTCTTTTTGCATAATAATTCCTTTGCCTTATCTTTGCCATGATGGATTGTGATGTAAAACCCAATTACTCACGTAATTTATACAAAAGTAATGAGATCGATGGAATCTATTTCCTCTGAATTGTTCAGCTCATCCTTAAAGATCACTCATCCGCATTGTGGCACAGACAGATAAAAACTCTACTACAAGTCAAGGAGTGGCGATGGGGAAAGGGGGCAAGGGCGAAAAAAGAAACACTTGGCTTATCTGTGGCAGACGCATAAAAGCTAATTGAAATTATTATTTTTATTTCGATGCGAAATTCAGCTCGTTTCGGTTCACTTTGCCCTTCATTGGGCCATAATTAAAAGTGTATTTAAAAAACAATTTTGGTGGCATAAAATTAACATAAATTGATGTGGTTAAGGTCGGGTCGGTGCCGGGTTCGGGTTCGGGGTCGGGTTCGGGTCAGATCAGGTTGGTTCTGGGTCGTGTCTGGTCGGAGGCGGCGACACCCAGACAAACACATTTATTGCTATGCTAATTTCGAGTTTCAGTTGAGCTCCAAGTTCGGGTCACACGGTAGCCAAATGCACAATGGCGACGAGCGGAAACGGAAATGCCTAAATGACTTTCCATCGTGCTGTTGTATGTGTGTGTGTCTCTGTTTTGGTGTGCAGCCACAAAGTTGCCGACATCGTGGACTGTGTCGTAAAAAAGGTTTGGTGGGTACGGCTTGTGAAAGGATTAAAAGCAAAAGGCAATAAAATGAAAAGTTTCAAATATTTTCATTATTATAACAGGCTCCAGCCCCGGCATGTCCCGTACCAGACTAGGGGGCGGGGGTGGACTTCCAGACTGAAAGCTGTAGCCGCAGCTTTAAGTTGAACTTACCCAGGAGCATGTGGACGCTCAGCTGCAGCAGCCACCGGCCATAGTCCATTGTGGTTGGTCGCCTTTAAAATTCCTTGCTGCTCACAGGCCGCTCGTCCCGGCCACGAAAAATTGGGGCGGAGAACCAGAACCCAGCCAGAAACTTTGCTCTTTGGCCACACTCAATGGCCGGCCATATTTTCTATTAGTCCAAACTTTTTGCTGAAGCCAACTTTTCGCCCTACGCGCCGCTCATGATTACACAGGCGGCCGGCCGTATATCTACATGCATATATATAGTTCCGATATCGATAAACGCCATTGACAGGTCAGCGGCCAATGAGCTAGAAAAACAAATGGAGAATCCTTGTTACAAAAAGAGAAGGAACAACTCGTCGTTTGTCGTTGGATTTTTTTGTCGCTTTTTGTTTTAAGGTTATTAAATTTGAAAACTTTTTTGGCGTCAAAGTCCAAAGAACATTCATCTCCGCTTGCTATCTCTCTCTCTCTGTGTCTCCTGTCTCCTTCACACACTCTACATCTCTCCCTCTCGCTCTCTCTTCAGCACGTGTCTGACTTTTACAAAGTTTCGGTTTTGGGTTTTTTATTAAACTTCCTTCTTCTATTTTTTGCCAGCTCCATTCTGTTTGGCCACTGCATTTGTTTATTGTCATTGTCAGCGTTATTTAAACGTTGACAGTTTTTAAAATTTTCTGTGCTCGAACAAAGGCGAAAAAAAATACAAAAATTTAACAGACAGTGCTTGTGTTGCGTCAACTTTGTCTGCCTCATCCAAAGGCCAAATGCCTCATCCCCATGGCTAGCCCACGTTCAGTTTCAGGTCCAGTCTCAGGTTCACGCTGAGTCCCAGACATACTCGTATACGAGTCCGAGGTCAGGGCGCTTCGGGCTTTGTGGCACAAAGTCCTTTAATGCTCTAATCAAATTGTGGCTTCTTTTTTGTGCGCCCATCGCCCATCGCCGGTCGCCCCCATACCCCGCAACCTTTTTGCGGAGGCTGCTCCTTGTTAATGTTGCTGTTATTGTTGTTGATGCTGTCGTCATTGTTTTGGTTTCATTGACGCGTTTATTAAAATTACCGTGGAAAACTTTTGCTGCGGAACGGCACTTTATTTTTAATAACAGACAGACGGTCCGTGGAAGTGGTGGCGCATGGGGCATGGGTCGTGGGGCACAAGCGGATGTTTGCTCCTAAAAATATCCGTTTAATTTCGCTCGCGGCCGAAGCATTAACAATTCAAGGGATTGGGTGGGCACGGAAGGAAGCCCTGACGGCTGGACGGAAGGAATAAACACAAGTGAATGGGTTAAATATTTGATTATTTGGCTAAGTTCAAGTCAATGTGAATGTAACTTTGAACAAATGTAATCTAAATTGGCCACTGAATTTGACGTTTATGCAAAGAAACACAAATATTGTGCATGATAGATTTAAATTAAAAGAGTTATAAATCGTAAATATTGTATTAAATTTAATTAAAAACAATTTTTTTTTTCTAGGCAAAATCTTTTAATTCTTTATGGAAATTGTAAGCAGGGCTTAGTTTTAGTTGTACCTTAGGCAGAAATAGATTAAAAAATTAAGTGCGGGCTAATGGGTTTCAATACTGGGCAGAGAACAACCTCGCCAGATTCAACAAGAAGCCTCCACATATTAAGAAGCAGAACCTAATTGGACGCTAATGATAAGCAAAAAAACACACAAAACATACATTTTTTTTTGCTTTACTTATGAGAACAGTGTGAAGATGTTTCAAAATCCATTAAAGGAGTTCAACAATTAAATGGATAATTGTGAAATCAAACACAATGTTTTCAATATATAAATGTCTTTTTCTCATCTTTTTCTAATACGAGTAGAGCCAATCATATCAATCAGAATAGTCGAGAGCAGTTTGCACAAATCAACTCGTTGGAGTGTCAATGTCAGATATAAAGTTTGGCCAAATTGCCTTGTTGCGAGTCGTTGTTTCGAGCAGAGTTTGGGCAACTGCTAATTGAATAATTTGAGTGCAGTTTCGGCATCATCATTTGAGCCATGGCAGGTGTCTATGCAGAGAATTGAAGCAAAATATGCTTTGGGACAACAATAAAAATATTTAGAGAGCAATATAATTTGCAATTCAAATGTATTTCCCAGAGCACACACACACACAAACACACATGCAGCCGAAAAATGCTCTGCATGACAGATAACAAAACGAAATCAAATCAAATGCAGAATATTCTTTTCACATTGCAGTCAGACAACACAATCTACTCTGTCGGAGAGGCAATTGAATGTCACAATGACAGTTTTCCTTTTCCAAGTCTCCGACAATTGTTTTGCACTGACTTATTCTGCATAGGACCTGAGGCGCACAAATCTCTCGAATTTCTTGCAATTATAATGAAAATATCAAATTAATGGCAATATCAACTTGGTCATAGTGGCTTCAATTGACATTTCCACTTGTACTGCCAATTTCAATTCGGATGCCGATGCCACTGCCAGTTGCAATTGCATTTGCCCTTTCATTTGTTGGAGCATATCAATTTGCTCTCAATTTGTTGTACGTTCACATGGCGTATACGCAACATGTTTCCAATCAAAGGAGACAATGTCAAGCACACACTTACAGGAACACACTCGTGTCAAGCCATTCCAGCCAGACACAAATGGAGCTCACCCAAACACACACACACACACCCACACACACACACAAACACAGAGGCAGATCTACACGTATGTGTATGCACAAGGAGAGACTTAAACAGCTCTGCTTGGAGCCGAGTTAATTACTTAATGGCAATGTAATGTATACACATACATAATTAACAAACATTTCATTGACTGGCTTAAATGACACACACTCTCATATACCCACCCACACACATACACACACACCCACACATATCTAAAACCTACACCTACACCCAGAGTATGTCACACGGTTCTGCTGGCTCTTGAAATATTTATGAGTTTTGTGCATCAGCAACAGTCAGTTGGCACTGACTCTGGGCTCTGGTTGTGGTTGTTGTTGCTGTTGCTGTTTTTCAATGGCTCGATTTGCATAAATGCATAATTTCACAAGCACACCAACACACTGGAACACACACAGACACACACATTATCGGACATACTTGTATGAGTTTATAGCTTTATTTAACTGCCATTTGGCGGACAGTTTTGACGCTGTTTTTTTTTTTGTTATTTTTTGTTTGATGTCGTTTAAAAAACCGAACCGAACAGCTCCGCTTCGTACCGCTCTGCACCGCGCCGCTGCGTAGAGTGGCAACTCTTTGATGCCGTGGACATGGTTGGCAGACCGTTGCCGGCGGAGTGCCGCCGTCTCGCTGAGGATGCTGGAGCAGCTTCGTTTCCGCTCGTTCATCCCCAAAGCTGCCGAATGTCCTGGGCGCGCCTTATGATGTGAGTTCTCTCTTTGCTCCATTTATTTCTCCTTTGTAGCTTTGTCGCTACTGTTGGCGCTCACAGCTGTTACGTTAACAGAGTGGAGAGTAATTTATAGACTGCGATTAGAAGTAACAGCGAACGTTTTGATAACAGAAAATGTTAGCGTATGAATGCTGTAATGTAGCAGTATGCTATGCTAACAGGATATGTTAAACGGTTGATGTTATGATTAACATTGCACACAACGGAGTGGCATAACAGAGAAGGTTGAATTCCAAATCGAAATCTACGAGAAATTTAAACAAAAAGTCTATTATAGTCTGACCAAAAACTGAATCTAACTTTGTTTTGTTCTCATGGCTAAAATCCCATTCAATTGTTTCTGGGGACCACTCAACTACAGTGGTAAGTATTATTTTTTATAGCTGAAGCTTTAGTCAATTATTTTTTACATGTAACTTGGCTTGATTTCTACCTCGATTTTATTGCAATTTTAGCAAGAAATTCCGCCTTAGACTGTTTGTATATACACATGCGAATGTAGAGAATATCGTTTTGAAGTTTGTGCCCTTGTTCAGCAGGGCCAAATCTCTTCATTTAAGCCTCGACCTTAGCTTCTGAGCGAGTGGCAGGTTCAACTGCAGCATTAACGGGCGGCGGCCTTGTGCATCCAAGTAGACAATTGAAAAATAACCAGAAAACCGCCTTTCATCCCTCTTGCGGCGCCGAAATCCTATTAGAAACATGTCTGTCTCTTTTGGCCGGGGCAAATGCATCGCTTAAGCTGCAGCGGAAAAGAAATGGAATTCCGCTGGCAAGCGGCAAGCCGCTTAGTTTCTTATCGATTTCATTTGTTGTGCTCGGCCCGGGGCAGGGGCAGAGCATGGCTTTCAAATGGCAAACGGCTGCAGTTGCAGTTATCAGTCACTCACAGAGTCGCAGATGCTGCGCGTGGCAAGGCCACACAAAATGCTTCCTGCCACCGCCCAAGTTCTGGCCCAACTTGCTTCTGACAGCCGGGCTGATGTTAATGTTGTGCTGTGGTTTGTTGTGGCACTGTCATGTGGCTGCCACACTCGCTCCGATGCTCCTGGCGGGGTCACGAAAGCAATATTTCAAATCCATAATGATGTCATAGACATCCTCCTGATGGATGGGAAAGCCCAAGCATCTTCTGCCACCGATTTGTCCTTAATGGGTTACATGCTCGCCCCTCTCGGCAAATTTAATTTCGCTGATAATGTTTAAAAAGGATATTAAAATGAACTCAAATCAATTCAAATGCATTTTCCACTCTGCTCGGTTGGCAATAATTAATTTTTGTAAATAAACGGCGCAGCCATTTCGGGCTTGTTAAAAATCAATAAAGCTTATGGGCTTAATGGGCTCAACGAGTCCACGAGGTGACGGCGCCACGCCCCCCCCCCGCATTAAGCCGATTTAATATTCAAGTATTTATCGAAAATATTTTGCACAATTTTTCCCACAACTTACATTGTCATAAACTGAAAATATTCGAGCATATTTATTTAATTTCAGGCATTATGGCCAGCTGCCTACCCGAGGGATTTCTCCTAGGCCACTCCTAGGATTTCCGCCGCGGCGGAATGTACGTCTATCTGATTACGCTTGTGCTCTGGCAATGGCAGTTAGAATGAATATGATTTATGGAAAAATTAAAAGAAAAAACTAAACAAAAAAGAACTGACTGTACTGACTGCAGAAATGCAAAAAACAGAAGCAGTTCATCTCGAAATCATTGCTGTATGGCTGTATGGCTGTACATTGTATGCCACTGGGGAGACCCTCGCATGTTGTGCACTTAAGAGCCTGAAAAATTGATTAAAATGTGGAAAAAAGTATGCCGATGCAATGGCAAATATATGACCGCAGCCAGAGGCCATCTATTCCCGTTGTTGTCGCCTTTGCGGTAAAGTTTACCATTTTTACTCTTTTTGGCCCAAACCTGCATATCCGTACCGTACATGGCACGTGAGTTTGCCGTGGCCCGGGCATGACTAAGGAACTAATGGCACTCGCACACACAGCCACACTTGTCACGTGTTTGGACTACAACAAATATGCTAAAAATGTAATGCCAAAAGCCAGGCGGCCATGGCAGAAGCAGAGCAGAGGCAGTGGCAGTGGCAGCGGCAGGGGGCAGAGTGGCCAGAGCATTTGGATTTTGCATTTTACAGCGCCCGAAGGCCGCGCAGCTGCTAAACTTGGCGCCGTTTGTTGCCATTTGCGAAAAATGCGCGCGGGTATGTTAAAAATGCATTCTGCCCCTTGCCAGGGCAGCTTGCCCCTCCACAGAACGTGCAGCCCTGGCCGCTCTGGGACTGAATCTTCTCGGCTGCTGAGACTAAGCGTTTCTGGCTTGGGGTACACTGCTAAAAATCATGAAGAAATGGTAAAGGAACAGAAGACGCTTGGCTTGAAATTAAAAGTTGTAATCTGAGCTACTATTGGATGAATTTTATAACATTTAAAATCCGATTTCAATTAATTTCTAACATCTTGAAATACCCCCCCTAAATTTTTTTTGGAACCCCTGCTACAGATATTTCCTTTGTAGGTTGCTCTTTTCCTTCAGTGTTCGAGGGTCTGGCATATGAGTGTCATCTCGGGTCCCAGCGGGTTAATGGAGTTGCATCGGACGTGTGGTGTATGTAGGTGGTCACAGTACCCTCTGCACTACACTCTCTGCGCCACTCGCGGATAAACTTCAAACATGATCAGGCCAAATTTACATTGAGCAAAAGTTTTGTTGCGTGGGGCAGAAGCAGTGGCAGGGGTAGGGGCAATGCCAGAAAACCGACAGCAGCTAAAAGTTCTTGGCTCTTGATTTTTCATGAACTGCCGTCGTCTGGCTGGGTGCCTCATTATGCGGATGGACTGGAGCTGCGGCTGGGGCCTGCGAATGGGGCAGGCACTGTATAGGCCAGGCACTTGCCAAGCCGCCCCTAGACGTAGACGCTTGCCACATTCCTAGGCAAATACTCGTAAATAAGAGAGGCAAGACCAACACAATGAGGGGACTGTAGACTGCCACAAGGGCCGCGATTGTCGCTGCGCCCAAAAGTATGCAGCGGCAACCAACAACAACAAAAAATAGCCCAGGAGCCTCGGCAAGTTTATTAAAAATTTGAGTTTGCTCCATGCCCCCTCTGCCCCATGCCACATGCCACAGCTTTTCCCCCTTGTGTATTATTATTGTTTTCTTTCGTTGCTTTGCTTTTCTTTGGCTGTTTTATTCCATTGCTGGCGTATTATTTTTGTTTCGTTTTTTCTTTGTTTTCTGCTGCTACATTTTTTCCACTGTTCGTTTTTCTGTGCCACTTGGCCAGGCCCGTGCTACATGCACTTGAGTTTCATTTGCTTGTTCTCCACGGCCTGCCCCACCCGGCACGACCGCCGCCTACTCACAGGCCGGGGCAATGTCAGAGAGTGCATTAAAAATTGTAGTGCCCGAAAAAGTTTTATGTACAAAAGAAAACCACAACAAAATGAAGTCGAAATGTTTCTGTTGTTGTTCCCGAGCTATTATTATTGCCATTGCCACAGATGTTGTTGCTGGTGCTGGTGCTGCTGCTGGCGGTGGTGGTGGTGCTGCTACTGCTGCTGCTGTCACTGATGCTGCGGTACAATTCACTTTGTTAAATTATGTGCAGCATTTGCGGATACATTTACTTGGCGAATCGACTGGATCCCAACGGCCCTTCTCCACTGCAACAGAGAAGAGCGAAAACATTAGATTGGGAAAAAAAAAAAAAAAAAAAAAAAAAAAAAAAAAAAAAAAAAAAAAAAAAAAAAAAAAAAAAAAAAAAAAAAAAAAAAAAAAAAAAAAAAAAAAAAAAAAAAAAGAGAAAAAGGGGGGAGGGGGGAAAAATAAAAAAAAAAAATTTTTTTTTTGGGGTGGGGGGGGGGGGGGGAAAAAAAGGGAAAGAAAAAAAAAAAAAAAAAAATTTTTTTAAAAAAAAAAAAAAAAAAAAAAAAAAAAAAAAAAAAAAAAAAGGAAGAAACCCACCGGGGGGGTTTTTTTCTTTTTTACTACATGGCGATCCTGCCAGGATCACGACTAAATTTAATTATTATTCGCATGGAATAATACCATTAAAATAATATAATAATAATATATCATTCGTACGTTTAATCTAAAATATTGTTTTATGAATTAAAATTATGATGATAACCCATTAGGCTTATTCAGAAATATTAACTTGAAATGGTTCAACTCATTGGCGAATAATCAGATTCATATATTTTTACATTTATTTATTTTAATTATTTACTAGATTAGATCCAGTCACCTGATTTGAATGGTGAAATGTTGAATCCTTTTTAAAGAACTCTAGATTATAGAAAACGTGTCACCTGTCACTAGTCAAAGCTGGTGAACAGATTTAGTAACACGGAAAAGTCAAATGAAAACTAAAACTTCAATACATTGGAAACAATGCCTAAAAAGTACACTAAGAAGAAGCCCAAGGGCGGGAAGCGGAACCAAAATTCCTCAAACTCTCTAAAGGCTGCCCCGGCCCCTGGGAAGACAGTGAAGCCTCTGGTTGAACATAAAAAAACCGAAAAGAAGCCGATCAAAGCCAAGATCGTCAGCACTACAATTATCGTGGAACAGCATCGTCACAGCGGAATATTCCTGGCACGTAATAAGGACGAATCCATACATCTGCTCACTCGGAACATGGCCCCTAGAGCGGCAGCAGAATCCGGAAATTACGACTACAAGGAGCAACGGTTCAGTGCAGATTTCCGTGGCAAGACGTGTGAGTTTCGCGCCTGGTCCCCCTTTCAGTCGACTCTGGCCGCTGCCGTTATGAGCGGTGTGAAGGAGCTGTACCTGAAGAGTGGCTCGAAGGTGCTGTACCTTGGGGCTGGGCTTGGGCGGACAGTCGCCCACATCTCTGACATCGTAGATCAGACTGGTGTGGTATATGCCGTGGAGCCCGGACCTTGGGCGCTAAAAGCTCTCTCAGCATTGTCCGAGCGGCGTCCAAATTTCGTGCCTGTGCTTGAGGATCCCTCAGCACCGTACGTTTACCACAAGCGTATTCCGGACAAAGTCGATATGATCATCTGCAATCTGCAGCCCGCGGAGCAGGTTCGCACTCTTATGCTTAATGCCAGGCATTTTCTGAAGATAAACGGGCACTTTGCCATCTTCCTGCATGCGGAGAGCATCTACGACAATGCCCCCGCGCAGGCGGCCCTTGAAGTCCAGATGGAGCTTCTGGGGAAACATAAGCTTGAGCCTCTCCAGTTGGTCCCACTGGATCCCTATTTCCGTGGCAATGCCCTGGTAGTGGGCGTGTACACTCGAAAGCCAGTTAGATCTTAAGATCAATATTCAGCTGAGTGGCTGCAGTTACTCCCAGCTAACAGGAAAGAAACATTCATTTAATGCGATTGCAGTTGAATCGTATTTAATAATTATGGTTTCCACTGAATAACAATGCGTACGGCATGCAAAATTAAACGAATCACAAATTATAATTATCGATGCCTCAATGCGGAGTGAAAATATTTCAGAATATTAATGAAACTAGCAGTGACATAATAAATGAATTAAACCAAAATGCCTGGTACATAAAAAGACCCATTTAAAATAATGTATGCCATTATTTTATTTCCATAAAGCCTATAGTAAATCATATAAAAATTTGGCTGATCAAAGATGCCCAGGTAAATGGGTTCTATTATTCTGAGCGGATTCTTCTTATATCACAGCACCATTAGCTGCATAATTAGATGCGCAGATGATGCTCCCAGTGGAAGGTTTTCATACGAATTTCACGCGTATCTCGCACCTCCGTTTATGCAATAAAAAAAGTAATCAATGAAGGTGAAATATCAAAATACTATCTTTATGATTTCTTCACGCAATAGCATCTCTGATAATGATCCCGTCACTTTGTCTATTTCATCTTGGGGCACATATAATTTGTATACCTCACTCACAGCTTGCTGTAGAGTTTCAAACAGAAACTGAGACATCTGTACATTAATAAATCCACTTACTAATTATCCATTTAACACTAAAACTAAGTTTATGACCATAAACGGAGCTCAAATCGTTCACCTTTGGTAAAAGTCTGTGGCTGGGGCCGTGCAGGGGGGGGATTTGAGGCCAAGTGATTAATGGATCCGCCACTGCCGCGCTAAAAGCTTGTAATAATCTCATACAACATTCATCATATATCACGCATTTGGCCCGCATTTAATTACAACGAACAATTTTAATTTAATTAGGGATTACAACTAATACAACTTTTTCATTTCGCTGACTCGGATGGGTCCGTCCGGATGCGAGCAATGCTTCGAGCACAAACACCATTTGCTCAAACAAATGCATGGCAAAATCTTAATTAACCTCGGGGTGTGCAGAGCATAAACCAGCACACACACACACACACAGAATCATTCGACACTCACACTCACGCCCTTATACTTATTCCAGGATGTCTATTACGCGAGCATTTCAAATGAATGAAGGCAAGCTGAGCAAATAAAACTATGTACATATGTATATGTATGTATATGCGAGTGTGTGTGTCCATAAGGTGTATGTATGGTAGTGTGAGTGTGAGTGCGCACATATTCATTTGTATGTTACGCACTTTATCCCATCTATCTCAAAGACAAAACCAGTCAGTTAACCAGCACACCAGACTCTCCCCTCCATTGCCAGTTCCCCTGTCCCAGCCCACAATCAGCAACCTCCATGCTCCATGCCCCATGCCCCATGGCCCATGGCCCGACTCATCCCCCCTTTATACCCATGAAACCCGAACCACGAAACCCCCACGAATCTTCCATCAGACTCATCCGCACTTTCGTCGCTTGGCATGTGAAGCGAAAATTTCGCTACTCGGGAATTACATTAAGCGTTGGGCATAATAAATTATTCCGTATGATATGATTCTGGTACATGATAAGCGTTTGTAATTTTAACTGTCAGTTAAATGAGTAAATGGCACAGAGTGCGCGCAGGGAGTGCGGGCGCAGGACGAGACTGGCGCAGGACGAGCCTGGCATGGCAACGATTTAGAATACTTCATATTTATCTTTTGTTGGAAACTTGAACATTTGTGTGCGTAAATAAAAGTTGAGCGTCAATATTTGCCAACCTACAGACACACACACACACACACACGCTGAACACATGCATGTCATGCACACACACACACACACACCACATGTGTATGTAATTACAACTCTGCGCTGGAAAGTTCTCTGGATAGAGAGGAGGTGGCGCAAGTACGTGACTATAATCATCGCGATTTTGCTTTTGCCGCCTCATAATCTGCAACAGCATCACGCCCACACCCCACACCCCACCATCCACACCCCACACCGACTACTGCCATCAAACAACTGACCCAGGCTCCCCATACCATCCCATTCCATCCCATTCCATCAGCACTGCCGTTTCGCTATTTGCTTTGAAATTAAAAAAGTTTCGCACTGAGCTCTGTTAGATTTTTCGCTTTTGAATCTGCCTTGATTTACATGTTAAATAATTTTGTGATTCCGCTTTTGCCCGTTCCTGTCACAGGAACATTGGAAAACTGTTTGAAACGCACAGCACAAAAGTCAAATATGAGCTGGAGTCGCTGCCCCTGCCCTGCCCTGCTTTGGCCTGCCATGGGCTCGTACTCGTATTTGCCGCCTGTAAATATATGCAGCAGACGGAGCCGTAGCCGTAGCCGTAGCCGGATCGCGCATTCAACTCAAATCAACAGTTCATTAAATCACGTAGCGAAAGTAAAGGAAAGTTGCCGGACATGTCCAGGCCCATACCCATACCGAGTTATGCAGGGAATAGCGAAATAAACCTGTCGCGCATTCTGATGATGATGGGGCAGAAACAGTTTCAATTGGCTGCATCGAGAGTATTATAGAGAGTATCTTGCAGTCAGTTAGCATATGACTGCTTTGCATGTGCAGCCCATATTTTCTTTTGCGCATTTAGTTTGATAACATCTGAGAGTCCCAATTATGGGCCGCGCCTCCGCCTCCGCGCTACTCACAAATCTCGATTTAGAAGCAAGGATTTGGTGTCCCGGCATTTGTTTAAATTAACGATTTGGAGAGCAGCAGCTGCTGCGGTCAGACAGCGACAGCTGCCCCGCGCGCACCGCCCATTCAGCTCAAGAGAAATGATGATGCATAAATAACGTGCCGATAATCCCAGTTAAAAGCTCAGACATTTGTTTGGATTTGGCCTGCCGCTTTCCAATATTTGCCTCAGACATTTAATTTTTCGCTATTATTTCTGAACGCCAGCAAGCGGCTGGCCTGGTGGTTAATGTCTGTCGATTGCTGTTGGGGCCAAGATGAATGGCACTCGATTTATTATCGATGTCTGGCAGAGCGGTTTATTAATATGCGACGAGTGCAAGGTGAGGGCAGAATTTTTGGGGACAATCTGCAGACATGGGAACGGATACTGGGACTGGGGACTGGATCCAAGGTGCTCCATAATCGTCTGCGGACGTGTAGTTGTCATCAATGCAAATACCAAGCAGCGCACTTGTCAGCATCGTCCCCGTTCACACTCACATCCTTCGCTCCAGCTGGGCCACATCGATGGCGTCGCATGATTGATCAAGTGCGTGCGTGCCGGGGACAGTGGCACACCGGCAAGGAGCTGGTAGGAGCTGCTATTCCATCCAGCGTTCACAGCGAGTGCCGATGCCGAACCATTTTTCTGACATTTAGTTGACAGCGCAAATTTTTGTTTGCTCGTAATGTGCCCTCAACAAGGATATGGACATTGGGTCCCACTCAGAAGTGTGTGTTCCCTTGCCCCCAGCACACTGCCCGCCAGTACTGTAGTGTACATCGCTTGTAAATGCGTCCGGAGCCATGTGAGTGCTTAAAAAGCATTTCACGCCATCGGCCAGCGACGACTACAGCTCCAGCGAGGAGGTGGAGGAGGAGGAGGACACTCGGCAGCTGATTTGACATTTATCACTGCACTGCCGACTTTCGATTTCCCGGCCAAGAGCTGGGAGAGGAGATGGTAGCGCGCGCTGTGTGGCTGTGGCATTGATGGAGCCGTTCCGAGCATGCCACACGCACTTGGCCGGCATCGTGCGAAATTTTAATGAAAACTGTCAGCGATTGCAGTGCCAATGGCCAATGGGCAGGACTGGTTCGGTAGTGGTTCCCACAAAGCCCCGGCAAATGTGATAATCCAATTGGCAGGCACTGTATGCCGGGACATTGGTTGGGGGTCATCGGGGGCAGACAGTGGTGAGAGAACAGTGGCACAGCTAAAGCCCCAGCCTTGTCTAATGTAATTCGTGATTCAGCATAAACTGGCGGTCGGGCAAACGCCCACGCCTCCTGCTGGATTTATTGGCAAGCTTTCGGATTGCGATTGGAATGGGTTAAAAAGGGATCGGACTAGGTACAGAGATAGAGATAGTGATGGGGGGCTGGGTGGGGGTTGCCTGCGTCTAGCTCTGGAACACTATCAAATGGTCCGATAGGCCAATTGCCAATTGTCAGATACAATTTATTCCTGCTCCCTTAGATGCTGCCAGGGCTGCACTAAATGCGAATTGAAAATAAAATATTACACAGAGATTGCAGCAGGCAGCAGGCAGTGATGGTAGGAGCAGTGGCAGTGGCAGAAGCAGTTGGAAGGAGAAAGACAAACAAACATCCAATGCAGCAAGCAGTAACACGATTATGCCCAAGGTATATCAATGAGAAGGGTAAGGTAAGGCAGTTACGGCCTCAGCTTAGTCAAGCAAAAGCACAAGACTCAGCGAAGGCTGTGGGATCGGCTGGAGAGTTAGGACCCCGCCTTACCTTCTTTTTCATATATCTTCATTATGCCAATGGGCATGCAGCAACAGCGACTGCAACTGAGACGCTGACGATCATCAAGTCCAAAAGGAATCGTAAAACAAAAGCGACAGATAGTTTGCAGTGCGCCACAAAAACAACAGCAACAAGAACAGGAACAAAAACAAGGAATACCTCACTGATGGCTGTTGCTGCTGCTGCTGCCACCATCCACTGCCACTGCTGCTGCCACTGGTGATTGTGGGCGCAGTGGAAAGCAGCGCCAATCGATTGTGTGGATTTTTTTTCGGTGGCGTTAACTGCTGGCTCCTGGGAGGGATGCACAAGTGGGAGAAATGCTGCTGTCGTCGTTCTGATAGCGCAGCTACAGACAGACTGCAGCAGCAGCAGCATCGATGGTGCAAGGGTGGGAAGCAGAGGGTGAGAGAGAGAGAGAGACAGCGAGAGGCAGCACTGTCATCGAAGGCTGTTTCGGGAGATGCTATCCATTAGGCTGGTGCATAGCAAAAACTCCATTAA